CTTTCGATTAGTTGTCGCAGCCGAGCATTGTGTCAAGCTTTCAAAAGGCCTTTCAGACGGATTTGCTTTACGTCTCTCCTGCTCTCGTTTTTTCGCCTGATTTTGCATTAGCTGACGCAATTGTTTTGGCGGCGTTACGGCTATTTAAACAAATGTTCTGTGTGACGTTAGCGGAAGTCCAACCTCGTCTCTTATGCTTATCTTTTATCTCTCAGAATATCACACTGCAAAAATTTTGATTCACAAAGTTTCATGCATTCATTTTCTCTCTCTCTCTCTCTCTCTCTCTCTCTCTCTCTCTCACTCTCACTCTCTCATTCACTCACCCAATCCTTAAGAGTTTTTGTTATTGCTTAATTACTCATTTGGTTCTTTTTGTTATCTGCTTTGTTTTACTACTCCTCTTTTAGATCCCTCCTGTTGGAGTTATAAATATATAAAATATATTTTATTATTTTTTAATACATGATAGCAACATTAGAGGTCATATCAACCCTCGAGGTTGTGTTTTTGAAAACAATCCCATTGTATGTCGATTTCAGGGCTGCTGGTGACGCCACCGACGACTCCACAGACGTACTAAAATCAGCCTTATTCTTAAAATGTTTATTAAGCATTAAAAAACGATTGGAAAGTTCGTGAGCATAAAAGTCCTTACGTAAGGCCAACATAAAAAATTATCATTTCTTAAGTAATTTCCTTTCTTCGACAGTTCCTCAACTCTTGGATACCATCAGTTAAGCTTTTAAGCAAAACTCTGATTTAAATAAAGCTTATATAATACATTGTTTAATTTTCTGTACTGAGGAGTTTCGATTTTTTTTTTAAATTGAACGATATTTGCGATTATGAACAGTTTCCATGATGATTCATAAAGTAAGAACCGTAATGAGAAATCGTGTGATTTCCCTTTATGGTCTGCTGGGTGATAAAACTTATTGTTTGATAGTTACCTCTATCATCCTGGTCTGCCTATCTTCTCTGACTGTTGTTAGTTCAGTCACGTTTCGACATTTCGCCATCATCAGTGTTTGGGTGATTTTTTTGGATTCCACTGAGGATGGGCAGATCAGGATGATAGGTAAATATCAAATAATATAATGAAAAATGCTAATTGTTCAATTTTAATGCCTGGTATAGGTGATGAATCTTAACAATCTAGAAAAGGTCAATTTGAAATATATTTCGACAGTTAAAAAAACCTTCTCAAGGGGAAACCACTGGTAAAAGTAATTAGTACCGTAAATGCTACGTGATGAAAGAGAAAGCCCGAATAATTAAACTTAAGTGAATTGTCTCTTAGCATTAAGCTCTTAAGCGGCCCATAGACGGTCAATATTATTGTACAATATAGATTGCACAATAATTTGACGGTTGCCCCTTAACGTTCAATAATATTGTACAAAAATTTGTTTAAAGACGATATTGAAGTTTGTGCAATATTTTGTGCAACCACGAGCGTGCGAACTGTACCACTTGTTAATACTTCACAAACTGACTGATATTGCGCAATAATGCCAACAGACGGTGCAATATTTTCAAGGTTGTACAATATATTTTCAACTTTTCGTCAGTGATGCAATATATTGCACAAACTTTCAATATCGTCTACACACGATCAATTAAATTGCACAACCCAAAATATTGTGCAATAATATTGATCGCCTATGGGCCGCTTTACTATTAGGTATGATACTGGGGAAATTACACACCCAACGTGCAGATGGACGTTTAGTTCGCCCGTATGGTACGAATGACCTTATTCGGGAATAAAAAGCATTTTACCACATGCTAATATTTTACTCAAGATTTGGACAATTTTTACAACAGCGTATAGAAATTTATCAAATAAGGCTGATTGATCAATTGATCGTTTTATTTAATTACGCTAGGCTTTTTTTACACTGAATGTGAGAGAGTGATAGTATTCAAGTTAGATAGATAGATAGATAGAGAGAGCGAGCGAGAGAGAGAGAAGTATACGTTTTAATTTTACTTTAACTGAGTGCAAGGAATCGTGAAATAATAGGGGGTATGGTATGGTATGGTAAAAAAGGATACTAGGAAGGGGGGTTTGCGCTCCCCAGGCACTGCAGCCTTCTGGCTTATTGTACCTTCCTAGTTCCTTAGTTCAACGCAATAGACTCAATCCTTCTCCTTAGAAGTATCAGGTTATTGACTGTCGTTGCTGCAATTTCATTCCCTAGATTTTATTGCATGTGAGGTTAAATCTCCATGGAGCTGTTGCTTTGCATTCGAAGATGATATGAGTGGCTGTTTCCTCCTCCTCATTACATAATCTGCAGATGGGATCATCGTTGTTTATGCTCATGTTGTTTAGATATTTTCTGAGATGCTAGTGACCGGTTAGTAGTCCTACCACTCCTCTGAGTTTGGCCCTCTCCAATTACAACAACGATTTTGCCAGTCTTGGTGAGGGTTGTTTCACCACAAGTTTACTATGTCTAGCACTGCTAGAGTTTATCCACTTCTCCTTTTGTTTTCTTTGGATCCATTCTGCGATGGAGGATTCTATATTTGGTTTTGTTATCCCAAGTTCGGGGACTACGTATGGTTTTGCAGATCCTCCTCTGTCCAGACTGTCTGCTTTGCCGTTCTCAAAATTCCCCTGTGCACTGGCACCCTCAGTAGGGGGGAGTTTAGACCATATTCAGTTTTGCAATGTGGGAGAAAGAACAATTTATGGTTCATTAGTGGTCGCTGAGGCACACATAATAATAGATGTAAGTTCTGGACATCAAGGGCCCTATTGCACAATTTCCAACCCTAAATGAGATAGAAATACGACGGGAGCTAAGCGACTCTAGACCAAGCCAATCTTTCTAAGTAATGCAGATTTGCAAGATCAAATCTGAAGACCATTATCCTGGTTGCTTTCCTTTGTATTTTTTCGAAGTTGCTAATCTCACCAACTTGGAATGGGGACCACACGTCATTTGCGTATTCCAGATGGCTAGGCACGAGGGATTGATATAATCTTTTAACTGCCAAGAATTTTTAAAACTCTAGAAAACCTTGTAATAAAACCAAGATTGCGTAGAGCCTTACCTCGAATTTGTTTGATATAGTCACTGAAAGTGCCCTTTCTGTTGAAAACGACACCAAGGTCAGTGATAGTGTCAACATCTTCCAATTCTCTGCCCATCAACGAAATAATCAAAACCAAAGACACGAGATAGTATATTTTTTTGGAAATTTAATTAATTACCTTGCATTTGTCACTATTCAAAGGAAGACGATTCCGCTCACACCGATTAATGAAGCAGTCCAGCTCCCCCTGTAAACTAACAAAATCGTGAGCGGAACACACGGAGTTAAAAATTTTCAAATCTTCCGCCAATAAAGAAAACTTACAATCCTTGTATATTCTACAGACATCATTGAAATAAACAAGAAATAATATGGGCCCGAAGAGAGAACCCTGAGGCACAACAAAAAATGTTGAAATCCTAATCGATAAATAAGTTATTAATGAGAGCCGAGAAAGAGCGACCAAATAGAAATGATTCGATGAAGCATAACAAAGGATCACCTACTCCAAGGATCTTGAACTTCAACAGGAGAATATCGATGTCAATTCTATCGCAGGATTTAGATAAATGAACACGCGTGAACACTATTTCCATTTTGTGTGGTGATTAGTGACCGCTAGTCGATAATTATTCAGAAATCGTGAGATGCGGTCTGATGTGATGTAGGTTTCAGAAAAACATTTTCTTTATCGTGCCAACGTTTCGATCTTAATTGAGATCATCTTCAGGGCCTGGAATTTACAAAAATTGTTTAAATTTTACAAATACATTTCACATCCTACATGTATTTGTAAAATTTCTGAATAACTATTTTCATTCTCAAGGGAATTTACAATACAATGATAATAATGAAATAACTTTCAATTAATTAAGGTTTTTAGTTGAGATAAAAAAGTCAGTGTCACGAGCGGGTGGGTATACGGGGGTTAGAGAATAGATTACACGACATTTGAAAAATAGCAAAAAGGAGGGAAAAAAAAGGTTGGTTGAGGTGGGAAGTTAGTATCCGAGTGGATCGAAGTCACAATAGCTGAAGTGGTACAGCAGCGGCTTATCTAGCCGAAGGTCTCGGGTTCGAATCCCGCTCGTGACACTGATTTTTTTTATCTCAACTAAAAATCTTAATTAATTGAAAGACATTAATTGGTCAAGCGGACCGCGAAAATTTGTGAATTTAATAATAAAATAAATTGGTACTAGTGGATCTACCCCGTAAGAAACATGCTGATTGATGTTAACATTAAGGAAGGAATTTCGTTCCTCGTTTTCTATTGAAATTCTCTAAAATAAATGGCCCATTGGGACCAAGATTGTTCACAGAAACATTGAATAATCGGATTTTTCTGAAAGATAAAATTGTATCCGGTAGGTACAAGGCATTTATATCGAAACAGTTTTGGTCAGGCTAATATCGCCAATAGTCATTTATGGTTTATGGTCCAGACATGGCTTGTGTCAGTTGAAATTATCAATATTTCATTAATTTTTACAAAATATTGCGAATTTTTCAATTCTCACGTACTTCAACCACAATCGTAATACTTTTTTTGGGTGGTTCATTAGTCGCTTTTCCTCTCCTTTGCTCTGCTGATTTTCCGACGGTTTTTTCCCTCTGCCGTCTCATGTCAACGGCTCGGCCTTGGTGGGATTTCGACGGTGGGAGCAGGAGCCGGAGCTAAGGACACGCCGTCCTTTTACGGCTTTTTCCCGGTCGAGGGCTGTGCCGATTTTCCCGGCCTTTCCCTCAGTCAGTGCCGAGATGCTGTTTTATATACTCTGCGTAAGTCCTTTCGATTAAATGAAAGTAATTTTTCCTCTTGTTATTATCCCGGCCTTCGGTGGAAGCCCATCGCCGCGTACGTGCTCGCTATCTCCTGCATAACTGCACCTGATGATGGGAAAGTTTCATTTTTTTTGTTTTTAACTAGATTCATGTCTTGCTTACAGGGTTCCCCTCTGTCAGCGTCACCTGTGGACAGTGATGAGGAACCGGTGATCAAGTACCGAAGGCTGACTCAAACTCCACCGGCATCAGATCAGGAGATTAGACAGGTAAATCAGAAAATTATTAGCTTGAAATTTGATTTAAAAAACGCACCTTTTGAATTTTTTATATTTTTTTGCACAAGAATTTAAAAAGTTGCTCTCGGCTCTTGTGCAGCCTTCTGTAAAATTGATTTAACGTGTAGTTCATGCGTATAAGATTATAGTTCTGCCTAGATTGTATCCTGAAAATTGCCTCTCCACGGAAACGTTTTTTACCCTGTGATCAGTTCCAGGATGTGGATTGTCTGATGGAAGCTGAGGATTCTCCGGTCCTTGAGGTCGACGTCGACGACGAGGTGATGGATGTGGCCGAAGTGCAGCAGGTTCAACAGGAGCAAGAACGAGAGCAGGAGAACGTTCAGCCCAGTCCGAGGATTTTCGATATATCGATCAACGCAGACGATAACGACTCGCCTTCCAAAGAAGGCGTCATACGACAACGAATCGAACTCAGCGAAGACCATGTCAGACTCTACGAACTCGACTCGAAATACACCAGGTTTGTACAAACATTTTCTCTTTTTTTTTAATAACAGGTCGTGCTTTAACAAAATTTTCACTTTAATAGGTTAAAATTTCCTTTGGCTTCAGTTCTTTTTTTTTATTGTGGTTGTGTATGTTTTGCTCGAGTCTGCTTTACCCTAGAAATGACACGTACCACACAAGATAAAAGTGATTTAACAATCTTTCTATATTACCTAACAAAACAAAAGCTCAAGCAAATCTAATCATCTTTCTTTATTTTTCGTTAGAATATTGCTACAAATCTATTTGTGGAGGGAGGCCATATGGCCACCATGGAGGAGAAACTGGAAGCAATTTGTCATCATCTATTTTTAATACACGGCCAGTTAATTTATGTAAAACGTCATTTTTAGGTTTTATTGATTATGTTGTTTCTTATTGGCAACTATATCGCACACCCACGAGAAAAGTGACACAAGTCGAAAAACTATAAAAACCAGATTTTTTTTAAAGTATTCGTGTGATGGTACAGGAAAAATGATAGACTGTTGGTGGAATCTTAGCTGGTAGGGATCACACTTCTCAGTTGGCGTGAACGTAGATGGTAGGCATGACCATGTGACACTTCTGAATTGGCGGGAACTTAGCTGGTAGGCATGACCATGTGACACTTCTGAATAGGCGGGAACCTAGCTAGTAGGCATCACCATGTGACACTTCTGAATTGGCGGGAACCTAGCTGATAGGCATCACCATGTGACTCTTCTGAATTGGCGGGAACCTAGCTAGTAGGCATCACCATGTGACACTTCTGAATTGGCGGGAGCCTAGCTGATAGGCATCACCATGTGACACTTCTGAATTGGCGGGAACGTACTGTCACCATTCACGAAAAATGGTATTAGTTAGTTCAGTGTCGATCTTTAAAGCATCGATGTTGGTATTTATCAAGAAAAGTGGCTTATTTAGAGTCAAGTCAGTTTTTCATGTTTAGTGAAGTACGCTGTATCGGAGCCACATTTTCACATTATGAATAACGAATTATTGAAATTAATATAGGCTCTAGACTATAGAATATAGACATAAGTTTTAAAAAGTAAACTTTCTTTTGTCTCACCTGTAAAATTATATTTTGTTGTGTCGCTTTTCTTGGGGGTGTGCGATATGTCAGTATGTACTCGTTTTCTGCTTGTAACGATTCAGAAGAGCGCAGTATTTGCCGCAAATCTGGTAGCAACGTAGTTTTAAGTTTGTATGTTATAATGGTATATTTCCATATTAAAACGCAGGTTTTCAAGGATAATAATCTTTGGTAGGACTGTTTTCTGCTTCACGACACATTTCATGTATAGTTTTCTAGAAGTCCTAGGTAACTAGTAGTTGAGTTTCTTTGTCCGGGACTGGGAAGTATTTGTCTTCTTTCTTGCGTGTTGAAACTCGTTTTGTTCATCCAAGCTGAAGAAAGGGTTCGGCATTTAATTTGAAACCGATCCGAAGCCGCATTTCTCTCTGTTCGCTTTTCCGCGGGCCGAGCCGCCTGACTGTTAAAATAGGACGTTGACACTATTTTTACGCGGGTCTCCTTACGTCAGCTCGCTAGGAGGGAAAAAAAGAAGACCGCTTCGGCCTATTAATTTTTCAGAGCTGTCCGTGGTCATTCAATTTTCAACGGATGGTGGAAAAAATCGGCCACATTAGACGAAATTTCCACACGTTGACAGACCCTATTGTTATCTGCAAGGAACCTCTATGAATGCAAAATAAAACAACTTTCGGGGTTTCTTATGCTAGATCCTCTTCAATCCACTTATAAGCAATTAAGGTCTGCCGTGTAAAGAAGAATGGGCAAATACGATTTTTTGTTATAACAATGATCTTGTTAATAAAGAAGGATGTAAATACATTAGTCTATGTCTGGAAGGTTGACGTCACAAACTACATATATATATTAATACGATTATTGGTTCTCTACAAGGTTTTCCGATGCCCAGGTTTTCATAAAACATAAAACATGCTAATGTGTGTACTTTCACTATAGATAACATTAGATCGCTGTAGACAGAGATAAAAATATACGTATTTCTATTATCGATATTTTTGAATTCTTTTAAACTTTTTCATAAATAGCTATAGCATCAAAGGGACATTTTCAAAATATGTTTACACAGCATCTATATTTTAATGTAAATATAGTAAAAACCTGTATTTTAATGAAATAGTGCTTTGATGTCTTTTGTTTTGTGCTTGAATAGTTGTCAAAGTTCACCCAAAACTAATACATTCTGAATAAAATTGTTTTAAAAGAGTGGCTTTAAGTAGTCGCTTTACTAAATACTGATATAAGCTCAAATCTACACAAACATGTGCATACTTCAACGCGTATACAGAATAGTGCTTATAACTCCTCGTAGTTCCATGGCACGTAGTCCAGCCGCCGAAGTTGGGCTCAAGGAGCTATCAACAGTTTGGTTATTTCACCCCCCCCCCTATCGACAGAATCATCCACACTACTTAATATTCCTCCATCATATTCTACACCTGTTATTTAGCTATTTAATCGAGAGTCGATTCTACGCCATCGGGCCTCTCTCGCTAATAAATACATTCTTTTTCAACATATACGCAGAATCTGAAGGCGAAATATCTATAAAGTATATATACATCAGTCCTGTTTCTTCCAAAAATCGGAACAGTTGGCTGAGCCATGGCTGCCATGCTCAACCACGATTCTCTTAACACATGAATCTCTTACCACACTCATTAGGCGGAGGAGTACTTTATATTCCTACCACCTTTACTTACCCTTTAAACCTATTACTTGAACTAACCAGTCACCCTATATGTTAACCTAACCTATGGGTCTAGATAAGACCTACCATTTCTGAAATCTAGAAGTAACCCAAGATGGAGGCAATTTTTATTTTCTTCCTAATCCTTTTTCCCCTTCGCTCTTACTGCTTTCGCCGAGTATTCGAAGTTCCTCCATCACCCTCTACACCTATTATATAACAACGTAATTGAGGGACGATGTGGTTTTCAATATTCCGCCCAATAAACAGTCACGCTAATAAATGCATTCACACTCAACACACACTAGGGACACAAAAGCATCATTACTTTAGACAATAAAACAACCCTTTTCTCAAAGAATCCGAAAGGGGGACCCAGATTCTCGCTGCCTTGCTTCAATTTTCAAATCGGGTGGCATTCCGACGCGCTCTCTATATGAAGCCAAGTAATTTACCGACCTCGAGAATCATCACCCCGGGTGTTGGCATTCCAGGTTCAGAACTTAACATTCCAACTACCTCGGTTGGGCGCCGGGGCTACCAACAGCTAGGTTATTTCAACCGCAACGCAATCAGTTCATAACTCCAATCACACTTTAACTCACCCTTAAATACATTCTTTCCTATGTACATGCCATTCACCACCGTGCGCAAGGGCACTTTTTATTTTGGGTGACATTCCTACTCGCTCCTTAGATGGAGCCAATGAGTTGCACACTTCAATTATATCGGGCACATAAAGCAACCTTTTTTTACATGCCGGACACATACGCGGTATTTAGTTCAAAAGTAAGTGTCCCTGTCATCCTCGCCTGGCTTATTCTTAATCAGGTGTGGCTGACACTTCTTTTACGAGTCAGATTCTCCGAGGGCCAGATCCAGAGTAATTTGAACAATTTGAATGAGGATGTGTAATAGCGGAAGGAATACATTGTCATGTCTTCCCTGGACGCGAATCCCTTCGAAAGTAAAGCTCAAGAAGTGCAAAATGTGAAGTCAGCCGGTTGAACTTTTGTAGCCCTCTGGGAAGGTTTCCAAATGCTGGGTGCTACCAAAGGGGTCAGTGGTTGACACGAGTACCGAGTAATCTAGTAGTTGAATGGTGTTCAGTTGACATCGGTCAGTTGGTCACAGTTTACAGTGGGTACGGTTTAGAGTTTAGGCTTATTCACCAACCAATGGCCCGTGATGAGTTAGATGTTGGATTTTGAATGGGACATTTATTGATTCCAAAAATGGAGACGAATGGGTTACACCGTTGTTAGATAGTGAGCGTGCTATTGATTGGGCTTGTCTGGCTTAGCTATATCCTTTGTCAATTTCAGTCAATAAACATTGTTTTGAAATGGGAAGAGCTGGATTACTTTATTGTAGTGTAGCCCCAGTGATGGTTTTGGAAGAAAAGCTAAAACTGACGAATGATCGACTATCCGAGAGAAACATCTCTCTGCTTGTCAGAATCTACGGCATATATTTTTAATTTTTTTATTTATTTTTTATGTATTTATTTTTTTTTTAAATATTCTTGTAATATAGTAATACAAAGCGGAAGACAAACATCACGATTCGTTTAGAAATTGTTCCTCTATTGTTAGAATTTGATTTGTAATAGTTTTTTGAACTCTCTCTTCTGGAAGAAAGCTAAACTAACATATTCTGTACACCACATGATATGTAAAAGCCGAGAAATTTCATTCTTCGCACCTGTGAGATTAGAAGATGTACACACGCGCGTGTTTTGAAAGCACTCTTGATGACAGAATAATTGCGATGAAAATGTGAAAGTGAGTTTTCCCGTTGATATTCTTGCGGTCGTTTTATCAAAAACACCATCAATGACGAATCTTACACCTTAACCAATAAAAGTCATTTTCCTTTGACAGCAATATAAAACCGTTTCCGATCTGACTTACCATTATTGGCTTTTAAATTTACCTACGTATATAGTGTTCAATCTCGTTGGATGTGAAAATAAGATCAAAGTTGAAGGTGAATTGCGCAAAAACAATTACAACGCTTTCTACAACCTATTGCGTATTGAAATATTAAATTTAAAATGTAAACCGTTATCAGTAATTGATCAAGGACGAAGTTCAACAAAATCAATCTTTCTAATCAGCAATACCTCCTTATTACTTGAATGAGTCAGCTTCATAAGCATTTAACATGCATGGTACTTCTACGTGGTGAATAATGATCCGAGGAGTCGTCGATTAAATTTTTTATTGTATTTTATTTATTCTTGACCGGAAAAAAATTACCGATAATGTCAAAGCTAACATTTATTGCGCTAGATGATGGGAAGATAGCTTTTCCGGTACCTCAGGACCGTATTTTTAAATGTTTACAGTGTTTGTGGTGTGTTTATGTATTGGAGTGAATGAAATTTATTGCCGCGAGATGAAGCGTTTAACCTCGTCCCGTGGATTATCGCGTACCCCGGGGTGAGGGTATGACGCCTGGAGAGTAAAATGAGTTATTAGCGAGAATGGAACGGTTCAACCCCCACCCCGAGGAATATCGTGTACTCTGGGCGAGTGATTGTGACTAGGAATGGCACTCTTTAATCTATGTAACGGCTTCACCGATATATCGTGAAAAATACATCGATATATTTAATTTTAGGTACATTACGACTATTTTATAATATCCATATGAGCGGAAAGAAAGAACGATATTAGTAACGGTAAAAATATAGTCATGGTCATGAATAATTATATAATTCTTATTAAGTAGTAATAAAAAAGATATAAAATAAAATAGATTTAGGTTATAACAATTAAAGTTTTTAAGCCTTTCGAGCATGTTTACAAGTTGCCACTTTTTTTCCTTTTTCCGGCGCATTAAAATATTTTTTTGACTTTTTCCCGATGAAGTCGTAAAAACTTAATAGAAAATTGTACAGATGCCGCAGAAGGCAGAATGGCAAGTTAGGTTTAAGCGGGCAACACACCTGCATCGTTATGTGGCGCTACCCGATGGTACTCGACGCCTTGTCACGTTTTGGTAGGGTGTGCACATCTATGCGACATCAAGCGCCACGCCACGTACAGTCACTCCGCGTGTATCACAAATCATTAGCACAATCGAAACGCCTCTTTTGTTCTTAATGCATTATTTTGAGCATCTAATAAAATGTTAGATAAATTTAATAGTTTTAAATAAAGTGATTCCGGTGTTTTGATCAATTTTCTGCCTAACCATCATAATTAAATAATTTTTATAAAAACTCCCGAATTTTTGATCTCGTTGAATTTGGTTTATATTAAAATAAGAATGTTGTAATTAATATAATGACAGAATTACATATACATAGCTAATAAACTACAAAAATATGAGTGTCCTGTTCTGACGCGACTCGACGAAAATGGTGCAATTTAATGAGCAAAACCATGAAATAAATTGTTAGTCAAATTCATTATATCAAAAAATGGTATTCTGGTGTTTTGATCAATTTTCTACCGAACCATTAAAATTAAAAAAAAAAAAAACTAATGAATTTTTGATCTCGATTAATTTGGTTTATATTAAAATAAGTATCTTGTAATTAATATAACGACAATAATACATGTAGTTTGAATAAAAATATGAGTGTCCGGTTCTTTTGTCTTCGACTATACTTGATGCTACCCGACGACAATCTGGACAGTGGGGATCGCAGAGCGTAGAGTAGGAACGGAAATTAAGACGAAATTAAGAGTCGATGGGGTACTCAGTTTTCGACCCGCTACAAAAATCACGTCAATAAATACATTCACTCTCAACATACGGCTATTACTATATATTTAATAAAACAACCTTGCTTCCTCCAAAAATCGTAACAGGGGACTCGTAGATCACTCGAGGACAATTCTTATATTAGCCTGCATTCCTACTCGCTCCCTATATGGAGCCAAAAAAGAACACCCTTCAATTATGTAGGACACATTAAGAAACCTTTTGTTTTGGCCCAAAAGTAAGAGTCCTTATGAACTTGGTCTAAGAAAACATACACGACTCCTTTATGCGGGGTATTTACCCAATGGAACGTTATTCCTCCTGGTTATGATGAACTAGTGCGTGTTTTCTTTGTTATTGTCATTCTGCAAAGTAAGAGATCTTGAGAAATCTAATTTTTTTACATATGTAAACAACGAGACATATAATCCAGAAAATCCCCTTATCCAAAACTAAACAAAATTTGGTCGGCTATGCTCCTAAAGCGGGGAACACACCCGATGCCTTGTCACGTTTTGGTAGGGTGTAGACATTTATGCGACGTCAAGCATAGTTAACATTTTTCTGAGCAGAACCGTGTAATAAATCGTTTGTTAAACTTAATTGTTTTAAATAAAATTATTCCGGTGTTTTGATAAATTTTCTTCCTAACCATCATAATTAAATATTTTTTCTAAAACCTCATGAATTTTTGACCTCGTTTAATTTGGTTTATATTAAAATGAGAATGTTGTAATTAATATAACGACAAAATTAGATATACATAGTTGGAAATAAACTACAAAAAATATGGGTGTCCTGTTCTGACGCTACTCGACGAAAATGGTGTAATTTTATGAGCAAAACCATGAAATACATTGTTAGTCAAATTCATTATATCAAAAAATGGTATTCTGGTGTTTTGATCAATTTTGTACCAAACCATTTAAATTAAATTAAAAAAAAAACTAATGCATTTTTGATCCCGATTAATTTGGTTAATATTAAAATAAGTATGTTGTTAATATAACGACAATAATACATGTCGTTTGAATAAAAATATGAGTGTCCGATTCTTTTGTCTTTGACTGTACTCGATGCTACCCGACGACAATCTGTACAGTGGGGAATGGGGATCGCAGAGCGTAGAGTAGGGTGCGTTGCGTGGCATCGGGCAGATGTGCACGGGGGTAAGGGATAATACAATCTTATGGGAAATTGGACTTTGGATTTGCGTCGCATAGCGTCGCATCGACTAAGTGTTCTCGGATTTATTGTCTCCGCCTAGTCTCGTGTCGTTGAGAGTGGATTAATTGTCATCATCTAGGTTGAAGGAAAACCAGAGTGGTTTGCGTCCTCATAATCAAAATTTACCTTCAGAAAACGAAAATAAATAACGCAAAACTTTTTCTCCGTTTAAATTGGAAAAACGCCTTGAAAGAAAATAGTGTAAACAATAATATATAATTAAAAATATTTCAAAACACAAAAAGGATACAATTGAATTATTCAAAATCGCTACGGACCTATTGTATTGATACTAGTACCGATTTACTAATACTAATATACAGTATTCCCTTACCTCATTTAAACATCTGTATATGCACCTCTTCTCCCTCCAAACAGAGTCTATTTAACCACAGTTTAAATTTACTTAGTTATTATTATTTTTCTTGTTAATTTTCATTGACTCATTTTAATTTTAACTCCTCTTCGTTTTGTTTTCTGTTATTATTGTTCGTTGAACACCACGACAAGGTTTTTTTTTGTCAAAATTTTAATTATTTTTACTTTAACTGAAGTATTATTGCAAGGAGACCCTCCTGTCCCAGAATTTTTTTTTTCTTCTTCGTCTATTATGCCTGGTTATCTATCAGTTATTAGGCGTTGATATATAGTTACATATATAATATATTATATAGGCGTTAATAATTACAATAATGTACAATTTATCGAGAAAATTATTATAATTGCTTCACCTGGTTGAATTTTTTTTGCAGCAGACAACTCAAGCATAAAATGCCAAAAAACAGGTAAACTATTTTTGGCATGGATTATTAACTTTTGTGTGTTTTTTAAATATATTTTTAAAGCAAAAGCCTGTAGATTTTTTTTAAAATTTGTATTGTCTAATTTTAATTTACACACGATTTTTCAATATTGCAATATTTATTTACATAATTAAAAAAATGAAAGAAAAATAAAAAAGTGATTTTAACATGCACTCTACAATTTTTATTTATGTCTAGTTTAATTAAATTTTTTGTGCATGTTTCCTATATGCCAATAAACAATTAATTAATATGTCTTATGTTTTGTTGTGTTTTTAAATGTATTGTTAGTAAAAAATTTGGTAGATTTTTTTTCAGTTTTATTAAATTTTATCTCGTTTTCGAATTTTCAGTCCTGAAATATTTAAAGAAAAATATAGATTTCAGCATGCACAATAGAATTTTTTTTCATTTAAGTAATGTCTAATTTAATTCAATTTTGTTATTTGGAGATCGTGAGATGCGGTTGGTGTGACGTAGGTTTTAGAAAAATATTTTCTTTATCGTGCCAACGTTTCGATCTTTATTGAGATCATTTTATTGGGATTTATGTGTGTATAATGTTTATAAATTTCAGGCCCTGAAAATGAACTCAATAAAGATCGAAATGTTGGCACGATAAAGAAATTTTTTTTCTAAAACCTACGTCACACCAGACCGCATCTCACGATCTCCAAATAATCATTAACTAACGGTCACTAAACACATTAAATTTTGTGTGTACTTTTTTGTCTTTCAATTTGTGTGGAAATACGAAATCCATTGGTGGTATGGAACATGGAAAATTTGATTTCTAGAAAATGAAGTCCTTCCTTACGATCGACGGTTTCAATGAAAATCGGCACCGATTTTTCACCCATGACGCCAATCAAAGGCTACGAAGTATTCTAGGTCCTATGCTCCACACCATCTACACTGCTCAACACAACACACAACTCATAGCCTGGATGCGACAAACTGGTCATATTTACATTGTTTTTCTTAGCTTTTCAAACCAATCGAACAAATCTAGTCTGGGTTTTTAACGTTTAAGACCAGCCCAGTTTATTATTATAAAAAAATCAACTCCGGGTTTAAGCTCGGGGAGGCTTTTCGGACTTAAATTTGTTTTTCTCCCCTCCACCCCAAAAGTTACCCCTCCATTTCAACCGTTCTGCGGTTTCAGTCCGACAGGTGTTGCCTGGCGGGAAGGATCGCTACCTGCTAAAGAAAATGTTCACATTGGTCCCACGTGCTTACATATGCGCGTAAGTAAACATGACTTATGGAGAAAAAAATATTGTTATTTTATCGTTTATGTGTAGGGACGGTTTGATTGAAACAAGAACATTTTTTTGTTATGGAAAAATCACTCGCCCCATATTTACAGCAAAGGATCTCGTTCATGGTTAAAGCATGGCATTTGGGTGAAATACGCGTCGTTCATTTTTTCAAATTTTTCTTTTCCCCGAAAACACGGTTTTATATACTTTGTTATCTGTCCTACTCTTATTAATTTTACGCATGTTTGCAAACTGTGTATTGTAAATCTTATATTGTTTCATTTGATTACATATTAGCTAGTTTTAATCAGTAATATATTAAAACCATAAAAAAAATGTAAAGTCACTAGTTTTCGTGGTCCGCTTGGCCAATTAATATCTTTCAATTAATTAAGGCTTTTAGTTTAAATTATGATTTTTCCTTCTTGAAGGTGGGATAATAGGTCATCTCAAAGAAACCACAACCAGTTTTTATCCACACGTTTCGGATTTATTTTAATCCTTCCTCAGTGAGTTAACGCCTATACACAGAACAAATAATTCTTACATTTTTAGATCAACATGGTTATCATTGTTTCTTCACTACTTACAATGGTTATTTTTAAAAAATAAAATGTTATAAAGTATTAATGACCAACGATCACTGTTTTAACCATTGTAAGTAGTGAAGAAACAATGATAACCATGTTGATCTAAAAATGAAAGCAATATTTGTTCTGTGTATAGGCGTTAACTCACCTGAGGAAGGATTAAAATAAATGCGAACGTTTTGGATAAAAACTGGTTGTGGTTTTTTTTTTTTTTTGAGATGACCTGTTATCCCACCTTCAAGATGGAAAAATCATAAGTTAAACTGTTGAGGTCGAAATATAAGAAAACATCGTTTTTAGTTGAGATAAAAAAAGTCAGTGTCAAGAAAAATGTAAAGTATTTTTATGGCATTTTCCTAAACGAATGTTTTACACACTCAAAGGCAAAAAATCTGACGCTCATATTTTATTTTCACTTTTTTGAAAATATTCTTTTACTCAAAATGTTTTAGGCAGCCTTTAATTTTAGGTAAAAAGTGCCATACTCATCCAACCTCACTAGTCAGAAGAACGTGCTGGTAAACTCATTGTGGTAATCCCTACATCCAGTGATGACAAATGGATTAACACAAAGTTGTCCCAAAATAAATTGACTAAACTGGGCCAACAGTTTCAAGAACTCCCTTAATGTACCTTAATACAGCCAAAGATCCATTCTGTATGAACTAGGTAGAACATGGACGTTGATTCCATGCCATGCCTGATTCTCTTTGGAAAAGGCTGTGGCTCACTTGTGTCACATTAAGCAAAACTTTCTCCAACTCTTCTCCATACACGGATCAGGTCATCTGATTGCCACAAACCAAACCAGCACTCATCTGCGAATAGAACAGCCCCCCATTGTTCAAGTGTCAAAGTGATATGCTGACTCTTCTCTAGCTAGTACCTGACCAGGCTATTCTTGAGCCATCTGATGACTGTTTTAGAGCTCACCCTTAGGTTTCCTTCCAACTCTTCTCCATACACGGATCAGGTCATCTGATTGCCACAAACCAAACCAGCACTCATCTGCGAATAGAACAGCCCCCATTGTTCAAGTGTCGAAGCGATATGCTGACTCTTCCCTAGCTAGTAGAAAACCTGACCAGGCTATTCTTGAGCCATCTGATGGCTGTTTTAGAGCTCACCCTTAGGTTTCCTTCCAACTCTTCTCTACACACGGACCAAGTCATCTGATTGCCACAGACCAAACCAGCACTCATCTGCGAATAGAACAGCCCCCATTGTTCAAGTGTCGAAGCGATATGCTGATTTGGGAATAGTCAGTCGCCTTTCTACTCTTCCCTAACTAGTAGAGAACCTGACCCGGCTATTCTCGAGTCATCTGATGACTGTTTTAGAGCTCATTCTTAGGTTTCCTTCCAACTCTTCTCTACACACGGACCAGGTCATCTGATTCCCGCAAACCAATCCAGCACTCATTGCAAATTGAACAGCCTCCCATTGTTCAAGTTTAAAAGCAATGTGCTGATTTTGGAATAGTCAGTCGCCTTTCTACTCTTCCCTAACTAGTAGAGAACCTGACAAGGCTATTCTTGAGCCCCTGATGACTTAAAAATTCCATCCATAGTCATTTATTGTGGATTTATGTTTTGTTCATTTCAAATTAAAATAGGTTAACAAAATGTTCCCAGTTCCATTTGGACATAATAAATCTTAGAATATTAAATCAACAAGAAGTATGTGAAAATAACTCCAACAAAATGTCTTTTTTTGACCAAAAAGAAAATTACTTTATCTATGAATTTTTTCCCCAAATTTTAAGATTTTACTGTCCATTTTATTCGTTACTGATTTAAAATTATTTTTTTAAGGTCTGCGTATGAGAATCGTGTCGGTACATTCTGTTTCAAGCACCAGGACACTGACACCGATGGCGACCTTCAGGCTGAAGAGGAAGAACGGCAGGATGAAACGCCTGAGGTGGCGAAAACTGAAGAAAGTTCAGAAGAAGAGTGGACTTACACAGGGCAGGTAAAATTGAATTTTTGATCTGTTCGTTGATTCGTGTATTATACACTTATTCTATTTCAGGTTGTAGAAAGCCAGCCAAAAGTCGAGGTTTTGCTGGACAGGCCGAAACAGGAAATTATAAAGCAGCTGGTGGATCAGGTGGAGGTTCTTGCTTCTCCGCTGAGGAAGAGAACAGACACAAAATACAGACGTGTCAAAGAATGGTTATGCCAATATCCAGAACAGAGGGTATATTTCTTGGCCATTATTTATCTGAAATATTTTTCATAGATTTATCTAAATTTATAATTGCGTGGTTTTATATTATCAATTTGTTCCAGGAAATTGGTGATAGCAGAGATGCTAGCAGTGAATATACAACAGAGGATGATGAGCTTGACTCGCGGATGTACAAAAATACAGGTGACTCTAATACATCGGTTGACTTGGAGAGCACGATCATCAACCAAGATTCGACAGAGTCACTTCAGGTCATACAAGAACAACCAAGAGTCAAATTACGCAACAACAATAAAAGTGTTGGCCAGCGTCCAAAAAGTGTCTCCGATGCATCTGCCATTTCACCGACTCACCTCATCGACCAGCTGGGTCATTCGATTTCCGAATCCGCGATTCATGAACTTTCTGGAACGAATGGTGTCAAAATGGACTCTTCCGTTCACACCGGAAGCACTTTGTCATCCTCGACTGTCGAAGATACTGCACAGACGCAAGAGGGTAGCGGTGGTGGTTACTGCTCCAATTCGTTAAGAAGAAGAAAAACAAAACTCAGGAAAAAGAATTTGGTAAGTTTTAATTGCAGTTTATAGTTCTTAACAACATTTAGAATTCTTGTTTTATTTTTTATTTTAGGGGCGTAAAAGTGAATCAGGCTCAGATGGTCTACTAGCACATTCAGATGGCAGTCATCCGACACCAATCTCTCCTATAAAATTTCCCTTGGCTAAGTTAGCACTGAGGCGATTAAGTGCAGATAAGGCTTTTTCAGATTCCCCTCATAGAAGATATGTTGTCCCTGTAAGATTATTTATTCTCTTAGTATTATTTTTTCCTGACGTTTATAAATCAAATTTGTTTTCTTTGTAAGGTTGACAGCCCGTCAAGCAACAGTTCATCTGAAGTGGAAAGCGATGGAAGTGAAAAGCAGCGCCGGAAGCTCACTAGGCCCGACTTCAGGATAGGTCCTGCTTTCAAAGTCTCTACTTATGCTGAGGTGAAGCCGGTCGTATCCAACGACAGCTCCTACTCAGAGCAGGCCTGGGACAACTACCAGGAGAAATATATGTCTGAACCGTATTCAGAGGACCCTCCAGATTCAGAGGCCGCTCGCAAGCTCCTCGACTTTGGAGACGATTACAGGAACTACCTGGACAGTCAGTCCGATTGTGCATCCAGCCTAGGGCGCAACACTTTCCATAGACGACCAAGGAATAAACCATATCAGGTAAAATAATAGAATTGTGTTAACTTTGTGATGTCGGTGAGGCGTTGATCTTTATCAGCTCAGATAACAAGACCTATATTTCATGCCACAACTTACTATGGCAAAACTCACTGCCAGACAAAATGATGTGCTCCGCATGACATCTTTCACTTACAATTATTTAATTCTTCTATTAATATTTTTCTGAGCCAACTTCACAGTGTACTAAACAACTTTGGCATATATATCCATTATATTTAGATTAAACCTACCTGCAGAAGTCTAGTTCTGAGGCATGCCAGCGACTATAAAGATAATCTCATTGCATATTTAAAATCAGTAAACGCGTATGGGTACATATAACAACCACACGTTATAATCCCCACTCTTATTATGTATGAATGTATTTATTAGCGCGAATGATTCATCGTATGTGTGGGTGAGGCTGTGACGGAATATTGAGTACCCACAGGCCACCGAATTAGGTTTAGGTGATTGTAATGGTTATTAGTATGACTATTGTTAGCATGATGAGCTCTTTTTATGTGTAATTACTTTGTAATACATTTGCATATTTGTGTCTTGCACTATTTGTATATTCGTGTATAAATAAATAAATAAAATAAAGCAGCAGATGATGAGCCACCACCTTCTCCGCTTAGATTTACATTTACGGTTGTATCTTCTGGTTCAACTACTCTTGAACTACAACCGTTGTGTACATTTGAGCATTTTTATCATTTTATTGATAATAATTTTATGGACGTGGTAAAAACTATAAATGAAAGACATTTTTGAAAGTAATTCAAACGTTATTTGAACGCTACAACTAGCGCGTTTTCTTTGTTATTATCATTCTGCAAAGGTCTTGAGAAATCCAATTTTTTTTTTCATTTCTGAACAACGAGACATACAATCAAAAAAATCTCCCTACCCAAAGCTAAACAAAATATGGCCGGCTATATTCCTAAAAAGAGTTATTTCAGTAGAAGAAATATAATTTTTTATAAGGGTCGGGTTCAATATGTACCCTTGAAGCAATCGAGATTTGCAACCAAGTTATTCATGTTGTATGTTGTCTGGAATTTTTTTATACACAGGAAAAGGGACCAAAGTTAACTAATCTTAGTGACTTTTTTCATAATTTGTTGAAGTCGTGAAGAGAGGTCAAGAATGAGAATGTTTAGAAAAAACCCTTTTTTATTTATTTTTTTACAGACGTTTCGACATTTATTCGGGTCATCTTCAGGGCATAAAGTTTTTTTTTTTAGTAAGCCGACCCTTATGTTCAGTATGTACCATTGAAGCAACCAACTTGCCCTGAAGATGACCAAAATAAAGGTCGAAACGTCGGCAAAAAAGGGTAATTTTCTAACTACCTCTTTCTTGACCGCCTCTCACGACTTCAACAAATTATAAAAACTTCCATTTAACATAGTAACAAATTTTGTCCATCCATAAACTCTCTTCGACCTCGCTATATTTTCAAGCTGCTTCAGTTCAAATCCTCTATCCACTCTCTTAATACCTACTCGTTTCCAAATGGCCTGTATCTTCATCGTCTTAAAACCTGCATATTTGAGAAGTCCTTCCTAGCTCGAGCCACAAATCTCTGGAATTTCTCTTCTTCTGCCAATCCACCAAGCCGCATCCCGAACCTCTTTTAAATCCCTCCTGTATGACACCCTCCAGAAAGAGATGATATAGTTCACAATATTCTTAGGTGCTTTTGCTACAATAGAAAGCTTGTTATCTTCCTTTTTTCAACTTATAAGTATACGGTTTGTGATCATGTTAGCAAGAGACAGAGAATACGGTGTTAGTACTTTTCCCTAAATCCTTATTATTGTTTCTATTTTTTTATATTTTGTATTATTAGTTAGTAGCTGAAAAGCTGAAAAATGGCAAAAGGAGGGAAAACTCATAAGGTGGGGTTGAGATGGGGAGTTGATGTCCGAGTGGATCGAGGTCATGATAGCTCAGGTGGTAGAGCAGCGGCGTATCTAGCCGAAGGTCGTGGGTTCGAATCCCTCTCGTGCCATTAACTTTTTTTCATCTCAACTAAAAACCTTAATTAATTGTAATGATTTAATTGGTCAAGCGGACCACGAAATTAGTGAATTTAAAGAATTAGTTAGTAGATTTAAATTTATGTTAACGTCAAACCTCATTAATTCAAGTGCCAGATTTGTAAAATTTTGTGACCTTTTTGCTATTCTTCAGATACTCTAGTCCCAGAAATAAGTCTCTCTCTCTCTCTCTCTCTCTCTCTCTCTCTCTCTCTCTCTTTCTCTTTCTTTCTTTGAGTCTGTCTCTTTTTCTGTCTTTCATTCAAGCTCTATAACTATCGCTCCTCATCCTTGTCTTTCTCTACACGCCTGTATTTTTTTTTTTTTGCTCTATCTCTCTATTTCTTTTATATCTAACTATTATACCTATTTATCTTTCATCTCTCTTATTCTCCTATCCCATAACTGACTTTCTCTGTTCATTTCACCCTCGGTTTCTCTCTCTCCTCTCTTCTCTCCTCTCTCTTCACTCTCTCTCTCTCCTCTCTCTCTCTCTCTCTCTCTCTCTCTCTCTCTCTCTCTCTCTCTCTCTCTCTCTCACTCAATATTATTTTTGATCGATTGTTTATTTTATATTCAAAAGATTATATCCTTTTTTTCAACCCAATATGTACAAATGTTAAATTAAATGTAAATAGGCATACACAGCTAGATTTAAAAAAAAAAATTAACGTAAAATTTAATATAAATTTAAAATATATTCTGTTTTCAATGCGTTTTGGAGTAGGAAATAAAGTTGAAAACAACGATTGGGCCATCGGAATTTTGGTTCAGGGTAGTCCTGTAGAGGCACAGCTTTGAACATTTGGTACTAGGAACTTAAAGGGCTTTATTTCCGAAGAGGTCCGCTTTTCTCGCAAGCCGAGGAAAGATTGAGATATGAAAAGTGTGATGAAACATACTCGGCGGATGTCAAAAATAATTTTTTTTGGGGAAAATTTTAGGAATCGGAAGTTGACAACTTCGACAAAGTGACTTAAAACAAAAAATGTACCCTTAATTCGTTTACTAAATGTTGTAAACCCATAAAATTATATATTTTCACGTGGTTTTTATAATAAAAAATTATAAATATAAAAAGGAAAATAGGGAAAAAATGCAATTTTGTGAACTAAGCCGAAAAACATCCAATTTCGTGCAATAATATTCTTGCAAAATAAGAATACTGTCAAAAGACGTTTTTTTTCTTGGTTTCATTGCAATCAGAGTGAGCAATAAAACTATGCAATTGCATGGGAATCCGGCCTTAGTTATTATGTAGTGTATGTTTGATATTTCATTTATTTTAATTAATTGATATAGGTTTGTTAAGTCAGATTATGTTAGTTTGGTAGTACGCTATTATAATTTATACACCTTTGATTTTCTTAATTACTTTTTAGTGTGTTCATTCATGCTCATGTTTTATCTTCAAGGATGGAGAGCCTACAAGTGATTTAGACGATGTCCGGAAGTTAATTAAAACATCGAATGAACGATACCTCTTTTCGGAACAATTTTTCTCTACGCACCTCTCCAGGATGTCACCGATTCGCTTAATAGCCACAGACTTTGTAAGTTTAACAAAAAAAAAATCTAGATGTTATTTGCGATATTAATTCATTTATTTTATCCGAAGGCCAATCACATTGCTACGTGTAAAGAAAATGTAGAAGCACTGGCTTTACTGTTGGAAAAACTTGAGGAAGAACCTTCCCTGCCGTCAACTCAGGAGTGCAAGGAAATCAGAAGTAAGTGTGTCAATATTTATTATCTTTTTAAAACACATTTAAACAACAATAAATATTTCTATGGTCGATAAGTAACTTACAAGGGGATTAGGCGAAAGTTTTTTTTGGTGATTCTACACTCAAAAATATACGACACGTATACGCCAATTCTTCTGAATAGGCCGTGTTTTCGCCGAAAACGTTTTTTTTAAATTCACTCATTTCGTGGTCCGCTTGACCTATTAAACATTACAATTAATTAAGGTTTTTTTGAAAGGTGAAATTTTCCATTTTTAATACATTTAATTCGCCGTTCTACTTATTCAACTCAACTAAGATAAGTAACTTCAAGGGGATTAGGATTAGGCCAAACTTTTTTTGGTGATTCTACGCTCAAAAATATAGGACACTTATACGCCAATTCTCGTGAGTAGGCCGTGTTTTCGCCGAAAAGGTTTTTGAAAGGTGAAATTTTCCGTTTTTAATTCATTTATTTCGCCGTTCTACTTATTCAAATCGACTATATGAATATATAATTTTACAGCATTTTTTATGTAGATTGCAATAAAAATATAGTAAAAGCTATCAAACTTTATCAATAACTAAGAAATTACTAAAACCCAAATATTTGTCAAGTAAACTATGCCATAAGACAAACATTACGAAGCTTTTTTTCATAATCCAATTTTAGTCACAATTAAATTATCATTAATCGTTATTTAAATATTAAAATAAATATTATTTTTGTTGTAATAATTTTATTGTTTTTAATAAGATAAAGGAACAAAATACTTTTTTTTTTGCATATTTTGACATACATTCTGTAAGCAAATTAGGTCAGAAAAGGTCAAAATTTGGATTTGACTTCATTGTCGTGATTCTAGCGTTAGACATTTAGACAACAATAAATATTTCAATGGTCGCTCATCTATCACTTGAGCTATCGTGTCTTAATCTTCTTAGATCCACTAGGACACCAACTTCCCATCTCAAACTACAACCTTTCGAATTTTTCCTTCTTTTGCCATTTTTCAATTCAGGGAAAATGCACAAAGTTGTAGGTTGAGATGGGGAGTTGGTGTCCAGTGGATCACAGTCAGTATAGCTCAAGTGGTTAGAGCAGCGTCGTATTTAGCTGAAGGTTCATTTCAACCAAAAACCTTAAATAAAAAGATTAATTAATTGAAAGAAGTATTTTGGTCAATAAACCACTAAATATAATGGAATTATTATAATTTTAATTATCGTTGGTCAGAAATTAACTTCGTTTTGTAAATGGAAATAATGGTCATATTTTAATGTTTGATATAGTTATAAAATGCACTTTGCAATTTCGATAAAACGAGTTATCAGCCATGAAAATAGGTCCACTATCTTTTGAGAAAAATGATGTTAGAGCTTGCACTAAGAAGGTCAGTCAAAAGGTAGAAAGGTTATCGAAATTATCAGTCAAAAAATTCATTAAGACCGATTTGCGCGAAAGACGGCATCGAAGGGGTTTATAACGCTAGAATCATAACAAGTAGGGTTAAATCCAAGTTTTGGCTATTTTCTGGCCTACTTTTCTTACAGAATGGTTGTCAAAATATTGAAAAAGGGCAGTGGTTTGTAGATTTATCCTTTTTAAATCATACCAAATTAGAATATTCTGCGCCGTAGAACATTTTTTAATCCATTATATTTCGTGGTCCGATTGACCAAATAACTTGTTTCAATTAGTTAATCTTTATGTAAGGTATTGGTTGAAATGAAAAAAATTAGTGTCACGAGGGGGATTCGAACCCACGACCTTCGGCTCAATACGCAATTGTGGCAAAAAGGAGGGAAAATTCGAAAGGTAGGTTGAGACATTACATTGAAGGTTTGAAGCAAATTTGTTGATATTTATAGAGGAATTGGTTATATTTAAGCCTCAGTATAAAAATCAAAGAAATCTTCAATCTTTGAATATACTTATAATGCTATAATGATGATTGGTTCAAATATTCCACTTTCCATAAAGCCGTTTTACAACCAATATATCTATTAATTATTCAAATTAATTATTCTTTTTATCTAAGGTTTTTGGTTGAGATGAAAAATTAGTATCACCAGCGGGATTCGAACCCACGACCTTCGTTCAGAAGTCACGATACGTTAGAACAGAGGCGTATTGAGCCGAAGGTCGTGGGTTCGAATCCCCCTCCTCTAGTGACACTAATTTTTCATCTCAACCAAAACCTTAAATACAGATTAATTAATTGAAAGATATTATTTGGTCAAGCGGATCACGAAAACTAGTGAATTTAATAAGTTAAATGAAATAGTCTCCGTGGCCATTTCAATTGTCGCCGAGAATCAAATAGATTACACGACATTTGGAAAAAGGGCAAAAAGGAGGGAAAATTCAAAAGGTGCGGTTGAGATGGGAAGCAGCTAGTGTCCGAGTGGATCGAAGTCACGATAGCTCAAGTGGTTAGAGCAGATGTATTGAGCCCGAAGGTCGTGGGTTCGAATCCCGTTCGTCACACTAACTTTTTCATTTCAACCAATACCTTACATAAAGATTTTTTTAAATGTAATTAATTAAAATTAATACACCAAAAATATTTTTTTTTTTTTTTTAATTCTCTAAATAACGTTTTATGCTCATTATGGCGGATATGTGCCCGATATTTTGGAGCGTAGAATCACCAAAAACAAGAATGGTGGAATTTACCTATTTTTTTGTCGTTCCGTCAAATATAGCAAGGTCAAGAACCAAAATTACTACTTTTTTCTTTAAAGTACGTCATTATCACTTACTTAATTTTTTTATGATATAGTCATTATATTAGGGTATAGTTCCATATAGGCCTAATTTAATTTAATTATTTCTGAGCTTACTAACCCTACTGACAGTAACCTTTTATCAATACTCGAGTGCAGGCTATGAAAACAGTACACTGCCGAACAAACTTTTGAATTAGTTGTTATTGTGTAGACACGGGGAAATCTCTGAGTGGAAAGGCTGAAATGTTTTTCCAGAGGAGGCGAAAATAATCATCTTTGATAAAATATTTTTCCAAGCCAAGCCCACTCAATGGTTATGTGCGGTTAATTTTTTAAGTGCAACAATTGCAAACAGTGTAAATTCAGATAACTGAATTTTAAATTGTTAACTCGCCCAGGTCAGGGAATAAAAAACAGTTTTATCTAAAGAAAAATGCAAATTGGAAACTGAATTTACCTAAGACGGCTGTTTGTCCATCCTAAGCATCTCGTCATCTCTAAACTTGGCTATTCATTTCTGGCGCATTGGCTCAGTCGTTATTCGTGTAGATTTTTCTTTTTGCGTGCCGCTTTGCCATTAAGCAGCTCAAGGACTATGCAAAGTTCTATCTAGATTCGGCGATGGCAAGAATTGACTTTAGTTAACGGGGTCACCTCGACCCTATCTAATTGGGAAATGGCTTCCTTACCTTATCTTAAGAAACCCCTTGACCAATTTTATTGACATTTTGCTTATGTTATTTGTTCGTCGTTTGTGGACTGTGTTTTTTTTCTATGTTCCGATCTTAATGTTTTTTCTGAAACAAGACATGATTTTTGATGTAGTGTATAAAAACATACTTCGCAGTACGCTCAATACCTTCTTTTTCCACACACATACATATATGCATAATACATTAAAAAAATCAAAATTTGACAGATGAAAGTACTAAAGACACACACAAAAACCACAACAGAAAACGTAATAATACAAAGTACGACATAGCAAAACTACTTTAAATTCAACGGACAAGTATAAACACCAAAATACGGACAAGAAATTGGTAATTTTAGCCATATTCGCAGAAGTATTTACAAAATTTTGAATACAAATACTTATCCGATATTATGGCATAACTTAACATCACATACGTGTAAAGGTAAGTAGGAATAATCAATGACAACAGCATAAACAACATAACTGACCTAAACTCATAACATAAAAGTATAAAATTCAACGCAGAAATAGAACTTAACTATAAACCAACTTCTTAGATTTATAAAAAAAGAGGCAAACTACAATTTGACAAGTACAGAAAACTGACATCAACCCACACAGACACAAACTGGCAACATTGAAATACATGACACATAGACTTAAATCAACCCCACCAACCAAAGACAAATACAAAAATGAATTAAAAAGAATGCAAACCAAGGCACACAATAACGGCTAAAATTCAAAACAGTCAAAACGCACATAAAAACTAAACTAAACCGACACTAAATGGACCACATTCAAACCACGTACAAACGTATTCAACAAATTAATCATAAAAACAATACTAAAACCCACAAACACAATAGGAAAATTACTAAGACAAAACGTCGACAACTAGAAGAAAACGGAATGTACTCACTAACATGCGAATTGAGCAAACAGGACAAAAAAATAAAAGATGGATACAAAGAGCATATTAAATCATTTAGGAACAAAGAAGGAAAATCGAATTACACATCTGATAGAAAACAACCACCATCGATAATACAATTGAGTATATATACACAAGGTTCAAAAAGGACAAAAAAATGTTCATATTCAAAACCATAGAAATAACATAAACAAAACACCTTCAACAATAAAAACAACTCATAAATACATAAATTAACAATAATGCACAAACATCATTTTATACAAGGTATTGGTTGTAATGAAAAAGCTTGTGTCACGAGCGGGACTTGAACCCACGACCTTCAGTTAAATAGGGGGGTGGGTTCGAATCTCGATGCTGATTCTTGCTTTTTCATTTCAACCTTACATAAAAAGATTAATTAATTGAAAGAAGTCATCAATCTGATCACGACATATAAAGGATCATTTACAACATTGAAAACATTACGCAAATTAAAAAGGGTACGGAGCGAAAACCAAAAAGATCAACTAGAACAAAACAAGAAGACACAGCCAATAAAACGTCACTCAGCAGAAATCACACACTGAAGATGGCAATATGCCGAAACGCGTCTGCACCAACACAAATCAGCAATGATAGACCAAGATGATAGGTGAC